CCTCGGGGGGGGGGGTGCACGCAGGGAGAAGGAGGAGGAGGAGGAGGAGGAGGAGGAGGAGGAGGAGGAACAAAAAAGAGGAGCAAAAAGGAGGGAGGAGGAGGAGGAGGAGGAGGAGGAGGAGCAGGAGAAGGAGGAGGGGGAGGAGGAGCAGGATGCGCGGAGGGGAGGGGAAGGGGCTCCAGACGACTTTCAGAACCCCCATCTGAAGAGGTTGCACGCCGGTCGTTGAGAAATTGTAGGGGTTTCCAGATTCCCAGGTCCCAATCTGCTTCGAGCGCCTTCTGCGCCAAGAATCGATGAACGTGTTCTGTTATGTTTGGTTACTCTTTGGGCGGGCCAGGACCCAAGCTACTTCATCCACCTTCCTATTTCGTGCTTCCATCTGCTTAGTCCGGGTGGCGGGTCATTTCAGCATTGGTGCGGGTATGCCCATGGTCGAAGCCGACCTGATCCGGCATTGTCCGGCTAGCTTCCGTGTAGCCTGGCGAACTCCAGTTCAATCTGGCTTCATCGGGCTTGATCTTGGGCTCATTCTGGCTCCATCCTGCAGAATGGCTCTCAGAATAGCCATCTAACAGATAGGGCTCACTAGCCTTAAGCGTTCGTGCGAAGACCTTCCAGGAGTTGCCTCCCAACAGCCAAACAGACAGCACCCGGAGTTCTACCGCCGCGCCTCAACCGTGTTCGGTCGCAAGTCATGCGAGCCTTGTGTACCCTCGGAAGTCCGGTTCAGCGTCGGTTCAGCGCCGACGGGCGTCGATTCGCAAGAGCCGCCGAGATGGCATGGGCCGCCCCCCTGAGCTGCCGCAGCAGCCGTGCCAGGGTGGGGCGCACGGTGGCGGACAACGAGCGCGTGTGCGACCTGTTGGCGCCCAGCGGCGTGGGCCTCGCCAGCTCCAGCTCGGCGGCTCGCACCAGGGGAGGAGGAGGAGGGGGGAAGGACAAGCTAGGTGCGCTCGCGTCATATCTGACGTCCTACCCCTCCATCCCATCCCTTACCATGGCGCTGATTTTCTCTATCCGCGGACGCGTGTCGTAGCGGACCTGTGGCTCCGCGCGCGCGTGCGTAGTGGGTGGTGGTGCACGTGCGTGCGTGCGTGCGTGTGTGCGTGGTTGTCGTGGTGGTGGTGGTGGTGGTGGTGGTGGTGGTGGTGGTGGTGGTGGTGGTGGTGGTGGTGGTGTGGTGGTGGTGGTGGTGGTGGTGGTGGTGGTGTGGTGTGGTGGTGGTGGTGGTGGTGGTGGTGGTGCTGGTGGTGCTGGTGGTGCTGGTGGTGCTGGTGGTGGTGGTGTTGGTACTGGTGCTGGTGCTGGTGGTGGTTGGTGGTGGTGGTGGTGGTGGTGGTGGTGGTGGTGGTGGTGGTGGTGGCGGTGCGGCGCGGTGGTGGCGGGCGGATGGGCGCGCGAGAAAAAGGCCCGCGCTGGGGCGAGAACGCCATCCTGAACGACGGAGGCCAAACACCGATCCGAAAATGAGGCCCACGCTGCAGCGGGAGCACGATTCGGAACGATTCGGGAGCAGAAATGAGGCCGGCGCCTCAACGAGAGCAGCATTTTGGGAAAAAATGACGCCGGCGCCTCAGCGAGAGTCGTTTCCCGGGATTTCCCGGGCATCCTGTGTGTTAAAAAGCAGTACGCGGAGGGTGCGCGGCCATCACCCGGACGCCATCAGGGGAAGAGGGAGAGTATTTTCATATTGAGTGATTGTGGAGGGAGGAGGGAGGAGGGAGGAGAGAGGAGGGAGAAGGGAGGAGGCAGGAGGGAGGAGGGAGGAGGCAGGAGGCAGGAGGCAGGAGGCAGGAGGGAGGAGGAGGAGCAGGAGGCAGGAGGAGGAGGGAGGAGGAGGAGGGAGGAGGGGGGAGAGGAGGAGAGGAGGAGGAGGAGGAGGAGGAGGAGGAGGAGGAGGAGGAGGAGGAGGAGGAGGGAGGAGGAGGAGGAGGAGGAGGAGGAGGAGGAGGAGGGAGGAGGGAGGAGGGAGGAGGGAGGTGGGTGGAGGAGCGAGGAGGAGGGGGGAGAGGCGAGGCCCTTCGGCGGCAGGCTTCTTCGGAGGAGCCTGCTTCTTAGAAGGCGCTTGCGCTGCAGCTGTAGACAAGGCCCGCGCCTTCTGAGAAGCAGGGGTGCTTCTTTGAGGCCTGCCCCCTCTTTTTGGGATACAACTCCTGGGAGGTCAAATTCTGATTTTGCACTGGTCCGAGATCCGGCTTAATCCGACTTAGTCCCGCTTAATCCTGTTTACTCTGGCTCAATCCCGCTTGATCCGAGCCCCAATCCGGCGCAATAACAGCTCCCGAATGGGGCTGAATCCTCCTTCATCTTTCCGACGCGAACCTCCCAGTAGTTGCCTCCTCACCTCCGCCTGCCCCCCCTCCTGTCGGAGGCCCAGAGGTTGACACCAACACCAAGATCCGCGGTGTGCCTCCACCGAGGGAAGAAGATCCCAATCTCGGTGATGGTGGTAATATTTTGGCTTCCAAGGTGACCGAAATATTACCACCAACACCGAAATCTGGGATCATCTTCCCCCTGTGGAGGAACCCCCCTGTTTTGGTGTTGGTGCCCATTTCCAGGCCTCCAATCCTGGCCCCCTGAGAAGCAGGGGTGCTTCTTTCGGGCCTGCCCCCTCCTTTGGCCCCCCCTCTGCGCGCGGCCGACCAGCACCGCGCCCGCCGGGCGCCTGACGCCGCCCGCGGGCGGGCCGTGCTCGCCGCGGGAGGCGGGCCCGCACGGCGAGGGCCCGGCGGCGACGCCCCCGGGGCGGGCGCCGCGCGCGCCGTCCGTGCACTTCTACCCGCGGTGCTCGAAGATCGGCAGACCCAGACAGCCGGCGTCTCGAGCAAAGTCGAGGCAGAGGTCTTTCTCATCGTTTTCGGCCTCTCGGGGCCCTCACCGGGCCTCGGGGCCGTCAAAAAACGACTCGGGATGAAAATCCGGTGCCGGGGAAGTGGTCGAGAGGTCGGGGGCCCGCGTCTCGAAAAAATCGAGACGCCGGATGTCTGGGGACAGCGAACTGAACCCCATCAAGCAGTGGCCAAGCGTCCTGGCCTGCCTATAGGCCCATAAGCCTACCAAACAGTCTCTAAGAACAGGCTGTGGTTTCCACGAACTGCTCTCAGAGAACATTTCTGGCCGGGACTGTCTTGTTTTAACGCGTCGGGTTTGTGTTCTGGGTTCTAAGAACATTTCGTGGTAGGCCTATCGGAATGCCGGGACGGTCGGTCCCTGCTGAACCCCACCTCCCTCCATTCGAAGACGGAAGTAACGCCATAAACGTAGACTCCTGGCGCTCCGCGCGGATTTCTTGGATCCGTGCTGGGGCCCCCCACGGCGGCGCTTCCGGCGCCGCCCCTGGCGCGCTCCGCGGGCCAGGGAGGGGGGCCCAGCGCGGGTCCAAGGAACCCGCGCGCAGTGCCAAAAGTTTATGTGTACGGCGTTTTGTTTACATCTTCTGTCCATAGATACTCAGGGGCAACGAGAAGGGGGATAGGCATAGGGGGGATGCATCGACCCCCCCAAATCGCCCACCGATCGCCGAAGAGGAGCCCGATAGTCCAAGCCTGCCCAGGAACGTGCGGATTCGCTATCGGGGGCCTATCGTCGATCGATCGGCAGTGTATCGCCGATTGCAGGTTGGTGCTTCCCCCCCTATGCCTATCCCCCCTATCGTTGCCCCTCAGGAAGGGAGACCCGCCTCCCCCCATAGATGCGGGCAAGAGTTGTATCCATATCCACTGCGTCTCGGAGTTTCTGGGATGGGGCGCCAAAATAGAAGCCGAATGGCGCAGTGGGGATGGACAAAAACGTTCGGCCTCTGTAGAGGCCAGATTTTTTTGATCTATATCAACTGCGCCCCCGGTTCCTGGGGAAGGGAGCCCAGAACTCCAGGACGTAACGGATATGGATACAAATCTTGTTCGCAATAGAAATCGTGGGGTGGTGGGGTAGGGTTGGCATGTGGCCTCCATACGTGTGAAATGACAGGATTCAACATGAGCACCAAGATTTCGAAGCTCCGCGCGGGTGTCTCGGATCGGCGCTGGGACCCCCTGGGCGGCGCCTCAGGTGGACAGCGCCGATCCAAGCAATCCGCGCGGACAGCCGAAACAGTATTTGAATGCCTTGCCTTTTGTTCTTGGGAGGAAGATAACATGCATGTGAGCATCCGGGGAGGGAAGGGTACCGGTACCGCGGATTGCCCTTAAGTTCCCTCGTCGTCGCGGCTGTATCGGTAGCGATGACGCTGCCGCTGCGCTACGGCTGCATCCGCCTCGGAATCCTGGTCAAAACGAGCCCCGGGAGAGGTCCGCGGAGAACGTAGCGGTATTGGTAATTTTTGTTCCCCGCCCCCCCCCCCAACACAGAACGTACCAATTTCAGGAGGGGAAAAAACACACAGGCACAGTTGATCGTCGATCCCCCGGAAAAAATGGGATAATATGGGAGGTGGGGAAGACAAAAACACAGAAAATGTTGGAGAATATTGGGGGTCCTGCTATTTGTGTGTGTATTTGTTTGTGTGTCCCAGGGCCCCTTCAAAATTGTCGGTGGTTCGCGCGGAATTCTTGGATCTGCGCCACGGCCCCTCAGTGGTGGCGCCTCTGGCGCCGTCCCTGGCGCGCGCTCCGCGCGCCAGGGAGGAGGGTCTCAGCCCCGATCCGTGGTTTTGTTCGTCACACCATGGTGCGTTGTGCACATTGTTCATTTCTAATTCTTCGAAAGGTCTTGACTTCTTTGGGGGGGGCCAAGATCCGTTCATTTCTAATTGTTCTATCCTGGGCCTCCTCCTGAGTGGTCCAGCCAGGCGTCAGTGCCACGGGCTAGGCACGTGGGGTCTGAGACACTTCTTCTCGTCGGCAGCTTGTCGGTGTGAGCGCCGATCCGAGGAGTCCGCGCGGAGATCCGAGACTCTGCGTTTGTGCTTTTTGCTTTGTGCCTCCAGGTACGGCGCCTGCGTCTCGAACGTGGCGGAGGTGCCCTGTGCTGGCCTGAGCGACGCCCTCCGCATGGTCGCGCTCGGGTGCCAGGAGCGGATGACCGCCCCCACGGCACTGAACGAGCGTTCCTCGCGGTCGCACGCGGTGTTCTCCTTGCGCATCGAGCGCAGGGGAACGAGCAGCAACCTGACGCTCCTCGACCTTGCCGGGCGCGAGCAGGAGAAGATGACACAGTGCCGCGGCGAGAATTTCAGGGAGCTGACCGTCATCAACCGCTCGCTGTTCCACCTCGCGCACTGCGTCCGCGCCCTCACCGCCCCGGGGGGCAAGGCCAGCTCCCCGGGCTTCGGGAAGGACGGCCACTGGCACCACTTCAGGAACTCCAAGCTCACGATGGTGCTCGGCCATGCCCTCGCCGGCAATTCCCACACTGCCGTGGTGTGCACCATCTCCCCGGCGCGTGGCGCCTACGAGGACTCCGTTGCCACGCTCCGCTTCGCCGAGTCAGTCAAGCAGGTGCGGACCAAGCCGGTGCTGCAGAGCGGGAGGCGGGAGGACCTGGTGTCCGAGCTTCAGAGCGAAGTGCAGCGCCTGCAGGGCGACTTGCTCAGGGCGAGGTCGAGCCGCGCGGAGCTGGAGCTCCACCTGGATGAGGCGAGGGCCATGATGGACCACTACTGCGGCCGCAGCTTCTGGCAGGACGTAGCGCAGTTGGGCTCCCCGCTGCTGGATGCCGGGACGCCCGAGGCCAGGCGGCTGTCGGCGTTGCGGGAGGAGGGCGACCCGGACTACCAAGTGGAGCCCACGGCGTCCTCTTCGTCAAGCAGCGGCAGCGGCAGCAGGGCGCAGCCGAGTCAGCAGCCGCCCTTCCTGGCGCTGTCTCAGGTGCGCGCCCCGCCCTGCCCGCTACAGGACGGCTCCGCCGACGCCTCGAGGAACCCCGAGGATCTGCGCATCGCCGTCGACCTGATCGAGAGGCTGCGGTCGAAGTTGAGCGACGGCAGGCAGACGCCGCCGCGGGCATCGTCCGTGCCGCGGGGCCGCCGCCTCGCGGCGGAGGTGCAGGCGTCGCCCGCAGAGGATCGGCAGCAGCGGTTCGACTGGAAGGGGCTGGCCGACACTCCGAAGAAGCAGCCCGCCTCCGCTCTCAGCCTGGACCCCTGGGCGTCCTACACGAATCTCAGCCTTCAGTCGGAGGCCTCCTCACCTCGGAGCGCTCGCGCGGGGGGCACGTCCAATTCCGCCTCGGACCCGTGGCGCGGAGGCGTCGATACAGCGGGCCTGAGCGTCAGCACCGCGCTGACACAGGAGGGCGCGGAGCGGCAGCCAGAGGAGGAGCTGCTGTGGGTCATCGACGCGTGGCTGGCGAGGCCGGATCTCGCGCCCGATGAGGCGACTGGGAGCCGGTCCAGCCTCTCCGTGGTGCTGCGGCAGCTGCAGTCCCAGTTGTTGGATCTTCGAGCCGCCAGCGCCAAGCTGAAGCGCGCGCAGGTGCCAGAATGCATGCCAGGTGCTGCGGACCGCGCCGGCAGCATGACCGCACGCTCGCAGCGCAGCGGCTGTGCCACGCCCAGCGCGGCCGGCTACTGGAACCCGTGGCTGCCTGGTGGCGGCGCCAGTGAATGTATGAAGTCGGCGCGCTTGCGCAGCACGTCGCCTGCGCCGAAGACGTCTGCAGGGCGCACGCCCCCGTGCGCGCCGCCAGACTGCAACGCTGGCAGCGGGGCGGGCGACAAGCTGGGCGCACTGTTGAAGGAGGCGCTCGTAGGCCCGCAGGACGACGGCTGGCACGAGGCGGCAGCTCAGGCAGCGGCTGCGTTGTCGCGACAGGTCTCCGCGCAGGCTGCGTTGTCGCCAGCGGCCGCTGCGGCATCGCCAGTCTCGACAGGCATCCGCTCAGCTGCATCAGTGGCGCCGCCGCGCTTTGTGAAGGCCTCGGCCAGCTATTATGCGGGCAGCGTGTCGCCAGCCCGGGCGGCACGCCCGGCGCAGCTGCGCAGCGCCCAGGTCGCACAGCGAGCCCTCGCAGGCCCCGCCGCCCCGCAGATGGCGCAGCCCTCCCCGCGCCTGCGGTCCCCCGCCCCTGCGCGAGCAGCCGCTCCGCCGCTCCTGTGGGCGCTGCCTCCGCAGACCCCGCCGGCGCAGCCGCGGGCGTGCACGCCGGGGCCCCACGGCTCCGCGTCGCCGCGGCTCGCGCCTCGGCAGCTGGCCTCCCCGTGCCCCACGCCGCGGGTCGCCGCCGCTCTGCCGGTGCTCTCCGCGGTGGCGGCCGTGCCGGTGGCGGTGCCGGCGCTGCCCGGCCCCGCGGCGGCGCCCACCCCACGCGCCGCCGGGCCTCTCGCGCCGCAGCTGCGCCTGTGGCAGGCCCTGCCCACCGACGGCTTCGGAGGGGACGCGCCCTCGCCCCGCCTGCGCACGCCCCTGCGGCAGATGCCCAGCCCGATCGCGTCCCCGTCCCTCGCCACCCGGCTGTTCGCGGCGGGCGCCGCAGCCTCCCCGCGGCCTCCGTCTCGCGAGGCCCGCTCCGCCTCGCGAGGCCGGGCGCCCTCGGCGCCCCCGTCGCCGGCGGCGCGCGGGCCAGGCGTGCGGGCAAGACGTGTATCCGTGTCCACCACATCTTGGAGTTTGGGGTGCCCTTGCCCGGACAAAGCGCGAGGCGCAGCTGCGGATATGGATGAGAGCCTGGCCCCTATAGGGGCCGGATGCGTAGCCGTATCCTCTGCGCCTCGGCCTTCTGGCCACCCCTCCCCCGGAAAGTCCAAGACGCGGTGGAGCCAGAACCCCCGACGTCGCCAGTCTATCAGAAGGTCGACCCCCAGAGGTCTCTACCGATTCCCGGGGGCCACCTTCTCATTCTGCGTAGTTTTTTGACGGTCCCGAGGCCCGGGAAGGACCATGATTCGGATGCAACTCCTGGGAGGTCAAATTCTGATTTTGCCCTGGTCCGATGTCCAGCTCAATCCGGTTAATCCCGCTTAGTCCCGCGTAATCCGGCTCAATCCCGCGCAAATCGGCTTATTCCCGCTGAATCCGAGGCCCTTTCTGGCGTAACAGCCCCGCAATGGGACTAAATCCTCCTTACTCTTTCCGACGAAGACCTCCCAGCAGTTGCTTCCTAACCATGAGAGGCCGAAAATAGAGAAGCACCCCCCGTCGTGATTTGTTCCTGGCCCAAGGGGGCCCAGGGCTGTGGACGTAAGGCGTGCCCGCAAGGCGGCCCGCGGGCCGACAGCCTGAGCGCCTCCGCGCGGAGCCGGTCTGGCTCGTGCAAGGTCCGGCTGTGACCGCGCGGGGCGCTGCAGCTCCGGGCGTGCGGTCAGTCCGATCCTTCGAATTCGAGTTGTGGCGGAAGGATCCTCCAGCCCTCACTCGGAGGGGGAGGGCACCAGCCACAACTACTCAGAGGAGCCAGGAGGTGGTGAGAATGATATGTTCCGAGTTTCCAGTACCTCCCAGACTTCTGCCTGTGCAGTACGGGCTCCAGAAACGATGAGCGCTAGAGACTCTGGAAATCCCGGAATGTATCCTGAATGAATCCTATCATGACATCGTTCTCGTTTCCTAAATACCCTTTTACATGGGTACGATTGACATGGGCACGGAAAGGTTGCGACTGCACAGAGCTCCTTGTCGGCGTGGCCGCGTACGTTGCCCAATTGAGACAGAAGGCCGCATGCCCAAAGCGGACGTTGTCGGTTTTGGACCATTCGTGGGGCATCGTGCCCATATTGTCCGTACCCATCTCGGGCGTCTTCAACTATACTCGGGGGAGCGTAAGACCTGGGTTTGCCAGGACTCGGGTTCGCCATCCTTTTTTGACGACCGCGCCCCGGATTTTGACGAGGAGGAGTTTCGTGGGATGTCTGCAGCGGGAGGCCTCGTCAAAATGCAGGCTCGGCCTCGTCATTTTTTTGACGACCTCGTGGGGGATTTCCGAGTCCCCTGTACCCAGGTCTTACGTCCCCCTGATATACACCTTGGAGCCAGCTGGGGGTCTGAGGTGTCCGAGCCTTGGTTCTGGCCAACAGGAAGGGAGATCAAGGTTCGAGGTGCTGGGTTCGGGAAGTTTGTCTTTTTCCTGCTTTTTGGGGGCCGTTTTCATGCCATGGGACCGTCCAAAGCGGATCCTGGGTGAAAAGCTGCACCAGAGGGACCGCGGGAGTGGTCCGGGAACCGATGTTTGGCGGTTCTGGCCTCTTCCTCCGTACTGACAGATTTTCTAGGGTTCCAACCAGCTCAGACCTCCCGTCCGCCTCCAACCAGGCCGAGCATGGTCCCAAGATTGGTGCATACGCCTTCCTGCTCAAGCTCAGAAGGGCGTATACAGATACACACACATACACACACACACAAACATACATACGCACGCACGCACACACGCAAGCACGCACGCACGCACGCACGCACGCACATACACGCGCACACACACATACATACACACACAAACACGCACTCGCACTCGCACACGCCGCACACGCTTACGCACACGCACACGTGCACGCACACGCACACGCACACGCACACGAACACACCATACACACATCGATCCTGGTCCCAAGAGGAGCTTGGCAAGGATCGGTCCTCATGGTCTCAGCTTCCACCGTTTTGGGCGGAGCCGATTCGGCGGGGGACTTGGTGCCTTTGTGGGAGAGAAGCGGCGCGAGTCATGGGTTGAGGGGGGGATGCATCGACCCCCAATCGCCCACTGATCGCCGATAGGGGTCGGGTACCCGGCCCGGCCACGAGCGTGCGGATTCGCTATCGGCGATGTATCGCCGATGTATCGCCGGTCTATCGGCGATGTATCGCCGGTCTATCGGCGATGTATCGCCGATTCCAGGTCGATGTTTCCCCCCCATGCCAGTCCCCCCCATCGTTGCCCCTCAGCGAGAGGAGATATGGAGAATGGGAGAGGAGGAGGTTGGAGAGGAGGGGAGCAAGGCGAGCAGAAGGCCTCTGCTCTCTTCACGCGCGGGGCGAGACCAAAGCGCTCGCACCCGCCGAGGTTAGGAGCGCCCTGTCCTGAAAGGAACGGGGGCTAACACTCCGAGGACCTCTGCGGCAGCTCCGTGGCCGAACGCGCGGACCTCCGAGGCCGAACGCGCCTGGGGGACCGAGCGGGCCCGAGAGCCGGAGGCGCGGCCGAGGCTGCCGGCAGGAGTCCTGCACCCATGTGCCCGGCCGTACGGCAGGACCCTTTTCTCCTCCTCCCTCTCCTCCTCCCCCTCCTCCCCCTCCTCCCCCTCCTCCTCCCCCTCCTCCTCTCCCTCCTGCTCCCCCTCCTCCTCCCTCTCCTCCTCCCCATCCTCCTTCCCCTCCTCCTCCCCCTCCTCCTCCCCCTCCTCCCCCTCCTCCCGGGGGAGCGTACGGTCGGACCGAGGTACCAGATCGAGGTCGCTTCGGGGAGGGTGCAGTGGCGGCACGCATCAAGAAACCAGATGCTTTGCGTCGGGGTGCCCTGGGTTTCTTCGCTCCCGCGCGCTGCGCGATGGCTTCCCGCAGCCGTGGAAGAAGCTGCTCCGTTCGGGGTGCTCTGGGCTTCCCCCCAGTCGCACCTCTCGCGCGGGTCTTCATGGTTGGTTTAGGGTTCAGGGTATAGGGTTTAGGGTTTAGGGTCCACTAGCCCAAACTTGAAACTTGTTGGACGCGTCCCACCCACCCATGACCCAAGACATATTAATTGCACAACGACGACGACGACAACGACGACATCGATGACGAAGACGACGATATTGATTTCAAAACGACGACGACGACGACGACGACTACACAGTCGCGCAAAGACTTCTGGGAAGGCGCTGCAACAGCGATGCGGCCCGCGCACGCGACGACGCGATGTGAAGAACAACGTATATCGACGCGAGTCCCAGTGCGTCGTAGGGGCGCTGCCCAGCGGCGGTGAGATTGCACGGAGTGGCTGCGCAAGGGTCGTGCAACGGCGATGCGGCCCGCGCGCGCGCCGACGCGCTTGGAAGACAACGCGTAGGGACGCGAGTCCATGTACGTGGCAGGGACGCCGCCCAGCGGCGGTGAGATTGCATGGAGCGGCTGCGCAAGGCGCGCAGGATAATTCTTTGCCTCGAGGAGAGGGAACCGCATGTACATCCTCGGGGCTGCGGCGCGGCGCGCGAAGGCCGATGCAAGGGCGATGTGGAGCGTTCGCGCGACGCGGCGCCACGAGCTCCCCGCAGCCCCTGGTCGACGCCTTGGCGATGCATAGACCTGGTTGACACGAAGTGCGCGGGATGGTTCGTTGCTTGGCGAAAGAGACCCCGCGTTTGTATCCTTAGCACCGCGAGGCGATGCGCGAAGGCCGATGCATGGGCGATGCGACCCGCGCGCGCACGCGAAGAGACACAAAAGGTAGCCCCCCACACCCCAACTGAGCAGCAATTTACCGATGCCTTGGCGATGCATGGCCTAGCTCGACACGAGGCGCGCGGGATAGTTCGTTGCTTCCACGAGAGGACCCCCCGTTAGCATCCTTGGGAGTGTAGCGCAGCGCGCGAAGGCCGATGCAACGGCGATGCGACGCGCGCGCACGCGAAGCGACGAAGCGGGTAGATCCTCGCGGCAGGCTGCCGACGCATTGGCGATGCGTCGTCCAACTCGGTGCGTCCGCCAGGGGCTCGCGTTTCGCGACGTCCGCCGAGCGCGGCTCGAGTGTCTTGGCGCCCCGACCGACCTCGTTCGCCAGTGCGCCACCTGCCGCGCTCCTCGATCCCCGCCATGGACGCGCTGGGACTCCTCGGCTCTCCCGCCCGCGCTGCGCCCAGCGCCGCCTGTCAGAAGCGCGCCTTCGAGCCCCCAGCGAGGGAGGAACGCCGCGAGAAGCTGCACTGGTCGGACCACGTCTGCTCTGCCTTTCTGCGCGACGGTCTCGCCTTGGAATTCGCAGATCCGCCCAGGACGCCATTCCTGGCACTCCGAGGCGAAGGATCTGCGTGAGGGGTGCGCCCTGCGATTTGCAAAAGCTCCCAGAACGCTCTTCCTGGGACTTCGGGGCCACGGATCTGCGTGAGGGGTGCGCTTTGCGATGTGCAGAAGCTCCCAGAACACCATTCCTGGCATTCCGAGGGCACGGATCTGCATGAGGGGCGTGCCCACATGGGGGGGGCGCGGAGGGTGCGGCGTAACGGCGCTTGAAGGCATTGTAGAATTTAAAATCCTTATGGGCTCTTATATATTCGGGTATAGGGTTTATGGTTGAGGGTCCACTAGCCAAAACTTGAAGCTTGTTGAACGCGTCCCACCCACCCATGACCCAATACATATTGATCTCAAAACGACGACGACGACATCGGTGACGAAGACGACGATATTGAGTTCGAAACGACGACGACGACGACTACACAGTCTCGCAACGGTTTCTGGGAACTCGCTGCAACAGCGATGCGGCCCGCGCACGCGACGACGCGATGTGAAGAACAACGTATATCGACGCGAGCCCCAGTGCGTCGCAGGGGCGCCGCCCAGCGGCGGTGAGATTTCACGGGATGGCTGCGCAAGGGTCGCTGCAACGGCGATGCGGCCCGCGCGCGCGCCGACGCGCTTGGAAGACAACGCTCATGGACGCGAGCCCCTGTGCGTGGCAAGGACGGCGCCCGGCGGCGGCGAGAGTGCATGGTGCGGCTGCGCAAAGCGCGCAGGATAATTCGTTGCATCGAGGAGAGGGAACCGCATGTACATCCTCGGGGCTGCGGCGCGGCGCGCGAAGGCCGTTATTAGGGCGAGGTGCAGCGTGCGCGCGACGCAACGCCACGAGCTCCCCGCAGCCCCTTGTCGACGCCTTGGCGATGCATTGACCAGGTTGGCATGAAGTGCGCGGGGTGGCTGGCTGTTTGGCGAAAGAGTCCCCGTGCGTGTATCCTTGGCACCGCGAGGCGATGCGCGAAGGCCGATGCTGATCCGCCCAGAACGC